TACTGGAGTAAACTTTACTTTTGGTGAAAATAGCATCATTCATTGTTAATATGATCCTAAAATAATACATTAAATTTATTACATTAAAATGTATATAAAATAATAATTAGGATGGAAATACATATTAAATGGATATCGCTAATAATAATTTAGAAATGTCCCTTTGTGTTATGCTATATGGAACAGCAGAAATAGAATAAATATGAAAATTATCATTCTTATAAGTAGATATTACAAATAATTTTTAAGAAATTCCATATAAAAATAAAATATTATAAAATTAAGAATGAATAATTCAATGGCAAATTAAAACAGAAATAGTTATTGAAGTTGCTATGATGATCAAATGGATAATCAATTTTCCACAGTTTATAATATCATTTGAATTCCAAAAATAGTAAAATTAAATGATGTTTGAACTTTTTTAGTTTTAATTTTCAATTAGGGATTATTTATAAGATGGGATAAAAATTCATATCATATTCGATATCAGCTTATAGCTTATATTCTTATCAAATTACTTAAAACTTTAGGATTCAGTAACCGCAACTATTTAATATATAATATGATTGTTAAACTGTTAAATTATATCATTAATTTTAAGATGTAATTCTATTATAAATATATTGATGATTAATTTCTATAAAAATACTTTAGGCTTTTTGAAAAAGATCATTTTGAATAATTAATTTTCTATTTATTTTATATTATTGAGATTAAATGGTTAGTTCAAGGTTTTGTATTCTATAAACCTCTCGATTTGGTTTGATTAGACAATATAACATGAAAAAGCTATTTTATTAGAATCAATTAATATTAGAAATCAATTATTTGTTATACAAATATGTAAAATAAAATATTTAAATAGCAGATTGACTTTGCTTAAACTAAATTATTCCATATAGATTGACTTAAATTTCAATTATGAAAAGCTTAAATAAAATTCGATTTTTAATTAAAATAATTATGAAAATATTAATTGTATTTTTATTTGCAGTTGCTTATTGCTATCCAATTGTTGTCACTAATACAGACTTGAGCCCTTCTGATTTATTTATCAATCAAATAGATTTGATGAGTAAAATAAGACAGCAAGTAAATTAAAATATTATTGTAGTAGGAAAACAAAAAAGTTATCTTAATAAATATTCAAACATCTCATTAAGATAACGAAATATTCTAAAGCAAATTACTCAAAAAGATAGAAAGTTTAAAGAATTTTAAAAAATTGTTAAAATCTAAATCCACTTTTGTTTCCCCATTTGTAGATTATTCTTCAATCCAGTTTTCTTAAGGACTCTAAAAGGATAATTAAGTAATTTGCTTTATTTATTCAAGGTTGAAGTATAAAATATCCCAATGAACTTTTAAAATCTTAAAGCACTTGATAAATTTGCTTAACAATCAGATGCTATCTTAATTGTGTTATTTTCAAAGATATCTTCAAATGTAAAGGTTTTAGAAGAAATTACTGAAACTTCAGAAGTATATATTGATAAATCATTGTTTTAGCCCTCTGATTAAATTATAGCCGTCGAGTTAGGTGATGAAAACGAACTAACTTCAAATACTGTAAATAAATTATTATATAAATAGATATACACAGTCACTTCTAATTAATTAACTGGATACATTGTCTTCTTTGTATCAATGTTTGCTTTATGGATAGCTGTCTAATGTAATGGAGCAATTTAAACTCCAGAAAGATTTTCAAAATAAAATTATTATATTGGAAAAGAAAGTTGAATTATTTTATGAATATTGTACCTAATATATTCTTTTTAAATGTATTTTTGAATATCTGAAATGTATTTTTGTAGTATCCAGCATTTTTGAGTGAATTTCATAATTGTTTCTAATCTTGTATTGAATCTTTTCTGTTCGAATTTGGATTGATGAGGCATTTGATTCTAAAATTAAAAAATGGATTACTTGGATACACTTTATTAAACCCCTACTTATCCATCTATTCCACCTATGCCTTTTTTTGCTTTTTAAAAATTAAAAAGGGACTTCATTAACATTTACTATAATAAATATCAATATTATTTAATAATAGCTCAATATATATGGTATAGTTTAGTAACAAATCTAATTTCAAATAGCTATTCTTTTCATGATCATTAAGTTCTCTCTCTAATCCAAATGTCTTATTGATATTTTGAAATTAGGAATATCTGCTGAAATTTCTAATTTCACATTCATCTTCAGGCTGTTTATTTGATGATAAATCCCCTATAGCAATTTTAAGCCTTACTCAAAATAAAAGCTAACAAAAAAGCTTTAATAATCAATCCCTTTTTTAAATAATGAATACTTCACTTTGCAATAGTTCTTATTCAGATTTCGATAATACATGGATTTCTTTCAAAAATTTTCTGATCTCTTCTACAAAATTTATTTTAATGATATTGAATGAGAATTATAATTTGAAGCTTGTAATTTTTCATAGATTTAAACTTAACTTTCAGCCAGAGCTATTCTAATCTATACATTATAAACAATTGTTTTAACATAATTTTATTTTTCTTAATATCTTTTAGAAATTATTGGACTGTTTTTTTATTGACAACCAATCGCCTTAAAATTAATTATTTCATATCCATCAAAAATGTATAAATAATAAAATCAAAAATTTCCTCACTATTCTATTTGTTTAATACATCAATACTTTAAAAACATAGATAACTTTTCCTTTCTCATTCTATTTCATGTACAACTTCTGTCTCAGCCTTAAAATGAAGACTTTCCTTATTATATAATACCTATATAATAATTATAGCAAATTCTTATGATTGATAAATTTATCTAAGACACTACACCCTTGATAAAATAATATATGACAGGTTTATGGGCTTACAAAATGTTTATTGAGTAAGTAAATTATTTATTAGTAATTCAAGTAATTACATTGTCTTCTAGTTCTCAATATTTGCTTAATAATTTTTTAAAAATAAATGCTTATTTTTATTCATTTAATGAGTTTCTTCATTTATTAATATTATTTAAAGTTGTTCAATAAGAATTTGAATGATTTTTAATTGACTTTTTTAATTAAAAAATACAATTACAACATTAATATATATATTATCATGTATATTATCCAATATTTTTTATTTTAGAATTACCAAATACATCTAAACAAAAATACACTTTATATGATGCATCTAGATTCATCTACTAATAATCTATATTATATTTATAACAAATGTTGCTTATTAATTATCTATCTGCTCCATTTTTTATTTAATATTGACTTAAATTATTATTATATCATTATTTATAAATTAGAATTATAATTA